CACACATGCTCACACATCTTGCAGAGACTCTACAGCTCAAAGCGAGGGGCCTGACAAGCGCTCAATGATGGGGCACACACAATCCAGGCCCTAGAAGGAAAAGGGAGAGACTCCTGTCCACAGCTGTTTGCATCGCCCTTCCTCTTAGACTGTGAGAGCTCCTTGACCACGGGGACTCTGTATTTCCTTTCTTTTTTTTTTATCCCAGTGCTTAGCCCAATGCCTGGCACATAGTCGGTGCTTAATAAATGCTTAAATTACTCATACTATGAGCAAGCATCATTATCCTAGAATTCCAGCAAAAGAAGTGACTGCAGAAGTCCCAGAGTTATCTAGTCGTGGAATCCATAAGTTCAAACTATGGCTCTCCTACTTAGCAGCTGTGCTTAGATTCCTCATCTGCAAAATAAAGGTGGAAGACTACTTCCCTCATAGGGTTATTGTGAAGATCAGGTTGTAAACCCTCAGCCTCTGCAGCTCATTCTCATCATCTCAAGCATACATCTTGTTTACTATCCCTTATTATCTAAGAGGCATAATTTCACATTAGTTTTATGTGGAGAAGCACAAGGCTCTGAGAATATTAAAAGCTTATCTAATATATTTCTAAGGGTAGCTAGACGGTCCTGTGGGTACAGCACTGGGTTTGGAATCAAGAAGACTCATCTTCCTGAATTCAAATCCAGCCTCAGACCCTTAGCAACCACATGACCCCAGGCAAGTCACTTAACCCTGTTTGCCTCAGTTTCCTCATCTGTAAAACGAGCTGGAGAAGGAAATGGCAAACCACTCCAGTATCTCTGCCAAGAAAACCCCCCAAATGGGGTCATGAAGAGTCAGAAATGACTGAAATGAGTGAACAACAATATATTTCTTGTGGTGAGGTTGTATTCTGGAAGGATACAAATATAATCTTGTTTATCCCACAGAAGATTCAGATTCATTTTCTAGGCAATAAAATCCAATCATAATTTTTGCTCTGAGGTATACTCTCTCTTCCATAAAGATCTTCTGGGAGCAAATGAATATTGTGTAAATTTAACTCTAATTCTAATCCAGAGAAGATTCTCAGTGATTTAAGGCCAATACTCTACAGAAAATCCTCACCATCCCCCTCTCCTCGAAAAAAATAAAAATAAAAACAAAAACCTAAGAAATACTGACAGTTTGTGACTCATGGCTTGCTTAGGGAGCCTGAGAGACATGCCTCCCTTTCTAACGGATTAGCTTCTCTTGAAACATCAGCAGATGTCCCTAGGTGCCCTGAGTAACTCCATTCACTACTTACAGACTCTAGGCAACACATGGTTCCGAGGCAAGTCCAGGTAGTGAAAGGAGGAGACTGCCCCCAGGGTACCCAAGCGAGCTGTCTGCCTTAACTGGCCCGTGCACTTCTCCAGCATGTCAGGTAAAGCAAAGCTGTCCTATGAGTTCTGGATGATGACAAAGCCAAGAGTATACCTCCAGAAACACCCTGCCTCTGGTAACCAACACTCTGCCTCTGGTAACTGAAGTCTCCCTGACCAGAGCTAAGCCCTAGAGACAGAAATACAACAAATGAAATAACCTTTACAGGCCAAGAGTGCCCTTTAAGACAGCGGATCTGAGGCACAGAGGAGGAGGAAGTGCATCCCAGCGAGCCGGTGTAAAGGCCCCAGGACCAGAGATGGAAGATCGGGGGAGACCAGAGAGATGACCAGCTTGGCCGAAGACTGAAGAATGAGGAATTATGTCTAGGGAAGCCAGAAAGACAGATGAGAAACATGTTATAAAGGGGTTTAGAAGATAAACAGAGGAGTTTCTATTTTATCCTAGAAGCAAGAGGAAGGCAACGGAGATTAATTGAGAAGGGCAGTGATACAATTAGATCTATGCTTAAGGTAAAATCACTGCAGCAGCATCACAGAGGATAGACTCAAGTGGGGAGAGTTGAAGGAAGGAGATCGATTAGAGACTGGTACAATAAGCATTCTAGGCCAAAGGTGATACAGGCCTGAACTAAGGTGGTACCTGCGTGAGCAGAGAAAGGGCTGGATACAAGAGGTGTTGTAGAGAAGAAACAACTAGATTTGGGAAATGACTGGCTATGTGGAGTGAAGTTGAAAATAACACTAAGGTTGCCAACCTGGGAGACTAGAAGTGTGGAACCAACCAAAGAAATAAGGAGGGTCAGGCATTTCATAACACAAAACAGAAGAGGGGTGAGGTGGGGGAGGGGAGAAAGAGAATGGGTCCTGTTTTAGATGTAGTGAATCAGAAATATCACTGGAACATCTAGTTTGAAATGTAAAACAGGCAATTAGTGATGCAAGACTGAAGCTCGAGGAGAGAGCAGGGTTAGATCCGTAGAGAGGGGAGTCATCTGCACAGAAATGATCATTGAACCCATGGAAGCTGTCTTCATCTTTCCAAAAAGAACTCTACAATAACAAGGCTATTTGCTGGTAACTTGTCCATTTCCAAGACAGGTTAATAACAGAACATACATGCTCATACAATGTCCTACAATTCTTTCTACGGGAAATGACTTCGCTTGAGTATCTACTGAATGATATTCCTATTTTCGAATTACCGGAAGCCTTACAATGGTAACACCATTTTTTTTCCAATTTCTAGAAAAACAAATTATCAAATAAATCTGGTATACTTAATAAACACTTAAAACTCAATTTTTGAACCATCACAGATCTCTCTTAGCATTAAAGGTAGGGTTTTTGGTTGTTTGTTTTTGGTTTTTTTTTTTTTTAACAATCTCTGAGTAGATGTTTTTTAAGCTGTCCCTTACTAACATTCATAGGATCAGAAGATTTAAAGTTCAGAAGTTCCTTTGCCTTTTGTTTTACAGATCAGGAAACTGTGGCCCACAGAGATTAAATGAAATAATTAAACAAAGGTCACACAAAACACAAATATCAAATCTGGATTTGAATGCAGGTTCTCGAGTCTAAATTCAGCAATCTATATACAGTACTATACCACCCTGATTCCATTAGATTAAAAAAATTTTCTTTGGAAAAAAAAAAAAAAACCAGCGTACATCCTACTTTCCATTTCCCCATTTAGGTATACATACAATTCAATTCAACCACCAATATTTATTAGAAGCCTATACCTCACACCAAGCACTTTCGTTATTAACACAATAAGATGCTAAAATGTCAAAGATTCAAATGAATCTCTTGCTCTAATTTATGATTAAGTTATCTTTCCTGGTTCTTCCAAGTTAAGTTCAGAAATCTAAGTTTTTTAAATAGCTAACCACCCTAACACTAACAGACTCATAGCAGGGTGAAGTCAAAGTTGCCGAGCTCGACTCTATCATTCACTACCTATGTGGCAATCAGCTAGTCATGTATCCTGTCGTGGTCTCAGTTTCATTACTGGTCCCACAGGGGGTTGGCGGGCTGGCCTCAAAAGTCACTTCCATTTGTCCCTCATGACTCTAAGAGCAGGAGTGCTGTGCATCCTGGCTGCCTCATTTTCCTAGTCTCCATTTTGCTTCAGGGGACAACAAAAAGATACATCCTCCAAAATATGTTTTCAACTGACAAGTGCCTCAAAAAGACAAAAGCCATCACGTGGCCCGGGATTTCTCAGAGCTATGTGGTTATTCCAGCATGACAACATCAGGCAGACAGGTGGGAAAATCCGATTCTTCTTTGCGTTTCTTCAGGAAGAAGGAAAATGACCCAGAACGTCATGGACAGACATACTACCACCAACCTACCTTTGAGGCACAGCACAACTCATGAAATGTCATGACTTTCCTGGGAGAGAAGGCAGCTGCCGCTGCTCGAGCAGTGACGTCAAACACTGGCCACTCCATGTGGCACACAACACTCCCGAGTGCCCTAGACCAGATTCCAATGCAATTGGGAAATACTTAACAAACTACATAAAAATGCGATAGAACATAGACAATGTTAATATGTGGTTTTCAAAGGCAATACATGGCCCACAGAGATCCTTAGGCACAATTTAATGGCCCCTGTTTCTATATGGGATTGACTGGCCGAGAGCAGCACTGACAGGTTAAGTGACTTGCCGAGGGTCACGCAATCTAGTAGTTGTGTGAGGTGGGACCTGAACCCAGGTCTGTATAAATCCAATGCCAGCTGTCTTTCCACTAAGCAATACTGTCCCCTTCTCTCTCTCTCTTTTTTCTTTTTTTTTTTTTGGTGAGGCAATTAGGGTTAAGTAACTTTCCCTGAGTCACACAGCTAGTAAGTGTTAAGTGTCTGAGACCAAATTTGAACTCAGGTCATCCTAATTCCAGGGCCAATGCTCCATCCACTCTATCCACCCAGCTGCCCCCTTCCTCTCCTTATAATAAATATTTCAGCAAAACATCATCCTGGAACTTAAAACACTATCTGATAGACCCCTATTCAATAGATTATGACAGCCTTGAAAGAAATTTCCCTCTGATAAACCTAGCTGACTTCTGTACAAGTCAACATGTAAGTAGGCAGAAAGCTATGTCTACTAAATATGCCTTGTCTTGCAGAAAGACATTTTGAGCATCAGAAATGGATTTTTCTATAATTGCAGCAATTTAGAAGAGGAAGAAAAGAGTCCCACCCTGCTTGCCAACCTACAGAAGAATTTAGCTTTCCCACAGCATTCCATTTTGACTTTCCCCAGTGAAAGACTGTCTGCAATTATATGAGGCAGATGCCTGGCTAAATACTGCATTTCTTACCAATAACTCTAGTCCAGAGGCTTTTTTTCCCCATATCCATTTTAAACCACAATGTTTCTAATTTGTGTCTACCAAAATACCCCATAGTTTAAAAAAAAAGGTCGAGCCTGAGTCAAGAGATCTGGGTTCTGCCACCAACCTTGCTACCTTGCTAGGTGACCTCATGCAATTAATTTAACCTCTCTGAATATTCAATTTCCTTCTCTGCGAAACAGTACCCATTCCAGCTATAACATTCTATTACTCTACCATAATAAGAAAGCTCATTCATACACGCTTTTCAAAATTACCCTCTTACCTCTTCAGGCACAATAATTAACGGGTATTTGTCCTCGGATAAAAAGTTGAAAATAACCCACACTTTAAATGAATCTTCTTCACTGATGAGCAGGGGACTTTTGGTGAGATTTTTTTTGACACAAAGTGTCCAGCACATCCTATTAAACTCAATCTTGTCAAAGTTACCTTGAACCTAAAAGAGAAGGAAAAGTACAAAACATTTAAAACCATTACAAGGAGAGCCAAAAATAAGTCTAGGTATACAGCCTGGTACTAGTGCTTTGACGTGGTACGTGATGTGTTAGATATGCCTCTGTGAAATAACCAAACCCCAATGTAAAGTCAGGCACCAAACCCCTCCATCTCTGCCCCGTAACACTGTTAATTCATATAAAACATGGATTGTATTAAACTTACTGCCTCCATATCCTCATGTGCCTAAAGTCACATTGTGGTAATGGCAGGCATTAGAAGGATGGCTGTTGTTATCAAAAACAAGCACAGCAGAAAAGCAGAGCTTAGAAACTTTGCTACACCCTTTTGATGACAGAAGACACATGCTAACATCACAACATGGGACCTAGAATTCCTTTATCCTGGTTCTGCAAGAACTCCTAGAACAACAGCCAATGTTATCAAAGGGAGTCAGGTTGAGAAAACTGTCTGAATCCATCTATTTCCCAACTGACTAAAAAATAGAGAACCCAAGTTTAAAAAAACAAAGACCACAACCCTCCCTGGACTTTCTACCACCACCACACCAATAGGGCCTGATGTGATCTGTTTATTTCCATGTCCACCTTTCTTACCCCCCAATTTTTTCTTCTTCACATAATTGGAATAAGAAGTTGCTCCTGTCAGCACTATCGATTTGAACCTCTCTGATACTTTCATCACTTGATACAATAAATTCTAGCAAAGTTTCACAATTTATATTATCTATAGAACTTTTCTTAATAAACCAACAAACATTTACAGAACACATTGGGGTCCCTCTGCCCACAGGAAACTACCTAGCTGTGGAGAAAATACCTAAATACACGAGAATTAAACAACCATACAAGTGTTACATAACACAAAACAATCCAAAAATTGTCACAAAGCACTCCATAATTAATTACCGAAGGAGAATATGTGCTATGAAGGCCGAAATCATGATGAACCCGAGGGGTCTGATAAAGCGTCTCTGAGGCTGTGTGCTAAACACTGAAAGAAAGATGCTACAGACTGGAAACCACACTAGATTTGTGGTCAGAGACTCTGGATCCAAATCCCAGCTTGGCTCCTTAGCATCTTTAAAAGGGTGGGCAAGTTGCTTCACCTCTCTGGGCCTCAATCTTCTTTGTAAAATGAGGAGCCTGGACTACAGATGACCTCAAAGGTCCCTCCCAACTCCATGAGTGTCTAATGGAGAAAAGGCACTTACAGCCTAGGGATGTGCAATGTGCCACAAGAGTACAAGAGCGGTTAGAGAAAGCCAAAAATGCTTCTAGACGAGAGGAGCAGGGAAAGCCTTCAGAGAAGGCAACATCTGAACTGACCTCAGAAGTAGGTAATACTTCAATAAATACAGATGGAGGTGTAGAGTAGCATTACAGGCCAGAGAGTACGGAACACCATGACAAAGGGGCAGAAACAAAAAAGCAAAAAAAGATGTTCAAAAAATGGAAAGTGGCCCGAATTGGCTATGGATTTCTGGGGAAAACAGAAATCAGTTCAGCAGAAATTAGGTTTAGACAATATACCACAACAGGCTCCAAATGTATATTCAACCAAAATATTAAATGTTCACATCATTTTTTAAAAAAAAGTATACTTCATAATAAATGGCTATAGAGAAAATTTTTAACCAAATGAGAAAGACTGTAAAAGATAAATAGACAATCTGAATTACCTAAAATTTAAAAGTTTTTGCATAAACAAAATTAATGCAGCTAGGATAAGATTTTTTTTTAATTTTGCATCAAAAATCAAAAAAAGTCTAATAACCAAAATACATAAGGAATTGGCACAAATATAAGCCCATTCCTCAACGACCAAAAGATACAAACAAGGTTCCGAAAGAAGAATATTAAGTGATCGATAACCACATCAACAATTAATCCAAATCATTAATAAAAGAAATGTTTTACCTTCCCACCCCCTCAAAATGTCAAGGATAAAAGACAGAAATAATCAATGTTGGAGAAACTACAGAAGACTACAGAAGAAGGGACATTAAACACATTAGTGTTGTGAATTGGTCCAAAAGTTCTGAAAAACAAATTTTTGGAAACCAAATTTAGTGATTTTTCTTGCATCATTCCAAACTGTTCATACTCTTTGACCAAGCAATTCCACTTTTGACATATATCCCCAAAGAGGCCAATGATAGTAAAGAAAGAAAAGGCCTCATAATAACAAAATACTCTTAGTAGTATTTTTATGGTAATAAAAAAAATTGGGGGCAGCTAGATGGCGCAGTGGATAGAGCACCGGCCCTGGAGTCAGGAGGACCTGAGTTCAAATCCGGCCTCAGACACACAACACTTACTAGCTGTGTGACCCTGGGCAAGTCACTTAACCCCATTGCCTAACCAAAAAAGAAAAAACCCACCAAAAAAAAAATTGCAAACAAAGTGAGTGACCATTAATAGGGGAATGGCTGAACAAGGAGTGGCAGAAATGTAATGGAATATTATTGTGCCAAAGACAGCTGCAGCTACCACAGAGGCAGGGCAGTAGTATGTGCAGAAGCAGTTGTTCAATCTCATTTCCCCAGGGCTTGCTCCCCTGGGATGATGACTGGGGGCGGGTCTTGCTGGAAGCATCATCCCAGAGAAGCAACAATAGTGTTGCTTCCTGGCATTACGGCTACAGGGGCAGGGCTAGAAAGGGGTGCTGCCATTCCCAGGTCTCTTGAATGTAAATGCCTTTCTTCCAGTGACAGTTGCTCGGGTGGGAGTTATGGTAAAAAGGTAGACCCTTTCTCCAGAGTCTCAATGGAGGCTCCTCTCAATGATGGCTCTGGGGCCTGGGATGGAAGCAGGGCTGATAGATGATCTGGGGAACACTGCTATAGCCAAGGCTGGTGGGTTCAGGGTCCTCGCTGAGCTCCATCAGAGTCTGAGAGGAGGCAGCAGGGGAGGAGACAGACTTACCGAGTGCATGCTAACTCATCTCTCTCTCTCAGGGTGCCTTGCTACTTCAAAAGTACAACTCTGAAGTTAGTTTTCAACACCAAATAATACTGTACAGTACATAAAATTCAGTACATGCACTTGGCATCGTACTGTTACTGAACTAGAAAGGCAAGGAGGCCAAGACAACAAAATCAGACATAGTACTGCAAATGAGGTGTGAGATATATACATATACGTAAGTATGTATATGTATGTATATGCATATACGTATATGTGTGTGAGTGTATAGCTAAATAGAAAATGTGATCAGATAGATTAGAACCAAAGTTGGCAAAGCATTTTTTAAAGCAATGTATATCTCATTCTGTATCTTGATCAATCACTTTGTCAGGTAGTGGCACGTTTCATCACTGGTGCTTTGGAATTGTGGGCAGTCGCTGCACTAATCGGAGTTAAGTCTTTCAAAGTTATGTCTTTTTACAATGTTGTTTTCATATAAATAGTTCTCCGGGTTCTGCTCGCTTCACTCTGTATCAGTTCATATAAGTCTTCCCAGATTTCTCTGAAACTATGTCATCATTTTTACAGTTAATAATACTCTATTACATTAATATACCATAATTTACTCAGCCATTATCCAATTAATGAGCTTCCCCTTAGTTTCCAGTTCTATACCATAACAAATATTTTTGTACACATGGACCCTTTTCTTCTGTGTTTGATGTCTGTAAGGTATACGCCTAATAAATGGTATCACTGGGTCACACTTTTAGGGGACAGTTCCAAATTGTTTTCCAGAATGGCTGGACTAATTCAGAGTTCCACTAATGGTACATTAACATGCCTGTTTACCCACATCCTCTCCAGTATGTCATACTTCTGTTCTATCACCTTTGCCAATGTGATGGGTTAAAATGGGACCTCAGAGTCGCTTTCATTTGTATTTCTGTTTATTAATGATTATGAGCTTTTTTTCACAATGGCTATTGATAACTTAGATTTCTTCATTTGAAAGATAGGCCTATTTATATCTTTTAATCAATTTATCTCCAGGGAAAGGCTTTTCACAATAGGAAGTGTCAACCTGTCACATGAGAAAGACCTGAAAGAACTGGGGGTGTTTCATCTGAAAAGGAGAATACTTAGGGGAAATACGATCCTGTCTACAAACACCTAGAGCAGTATCATGGGAGAGAAATTAAACTTGTTCTATGTGACTCCTGTAGGTTAAAGGAGATCCAAAGTCAACAGAAGGCAGAGTCTGGCTAAAAACAAGCAAAGAAAAACCAAGAATGAGCTCTGTCAAAAAATGAAAGAGGTCCTTGTACAAGTGAGCTTCTGTACCTTGTCCATATCAATCAACTATTAGGGAAGCTGTCAAAGGCATGTGTGCATGCAGAGTTAGAAGAGTCAGAAGACTTCTGAGTCCTAACTCTAAAAATTGATGATTCCATCAATCAGCTGAACTGTTACTGCTACTGTTTAACAAGACCAGCACTCTCATGTACTGGTGTGGACAATGAAGCCTGGTTTTACACTGAAGTTTGAAAGATTCATTTTTCTTATTTTCTTTTTTTATGTTCTACTCAGGGGTGGGGAACCTCTGCTGCCTCAAGGCCACATGTGGCCCTCTAGGTCCTCAAGTGTGGCCCTTTCACTGAATCCAAACTAGAAGGACCTAGAGGGCCACATGTGGCCTCGAGGCAACAGGTTCCCCAACCCAAAACCCTTACACATCTCAATGGAAGTTAAAATAAAACCTATCTTTTCAAAAGTTTGAAGCATCATCTAACTATTAAGTTTCGTGATTTAGTAATTCACACTAATTCACGCCTTCTGCTCCAAGTTCCTTAAGTGCCCGTAAGTGTGGAATTCCTTTTACTCCATTTGTTTAAACTGGGGATATGAGTACTAACACCGTTCTAAAGGAAATAACTGGAAACGAGGCCAGGCCGAATCTCCTCCCAGTAGGTTTTAGGTTCTAAAGCAGTTCAGACCCTTCTTTTTCCTCACTGTGTCTATATCTTTAGTCACTAAAAATCAGAGAAAAGTCAAAGGACCTTAGGAGGAA